AATAATTGGTAAAGATAGATGAAATGGGTAATTAAAAACGAAAAACAATAGTTGTTCATTACAATTTTTGACGATAATTTGGAAAAGAATTCATGAAAATAATATTTTACGACCTTTGCCCTTTATAAATATTAAATTCACTTTTTTTCAAGATTTAATTGAAAAATTTGATTCACACGAGGATATAAATTACATTTCTTTGAGGTAATTAATAGATGTCACTACCAAGTCAAAACATTATTTATTGATGAAAAGCCTAACAAAGTTTATGTCAAAGTTAGTTTATGCCAAGCTGAGGCATACATTTACTCTTACTATAACATATCAAATGCTTATTGCCAAAATAAAATTGCCTTCTAATCAGTTATTTCCCTTGCAAGAATGCTTAATTATTACAAACAAATGGATAATTGAATTACCTTTTTCAAACTTTATTTTTTTTTGTCAAATCGCGATTTAATGCAACTTTTGTTAATCACAAATCATTAAATCGAGTAATCAAGTAATGCAATAAAGATATCGTTAATTGCATCGAAGGGAAAAAAGAAAGTTAGTGGTTGTAAAAGAAAGTTAGAAGAAATTTTGCAAAAATGCCTATCATCCTCTTTCTAAATGTTACAAATATTTTGAAATTTTAGAATCATCGATTTTTTCCAAAGTTTTGCACAATTTATGTAAAATTTAATTTGACAATCACTAACTTTGTAGCTCAATTTGATGCATTAAAACATGTAAAAGCATTTGTCAAATATGCATTTATAATGCAAACTACTGAGATGAAAAAACGCAGTATGAATTACAAATGCCAACAGAAATTTTTAACTGTTCAAATTAATTATATCATTTTTAGAGAAATTTAATTTAACTAAAAATTTAAAGAAAAAAGTTGAATAAAAGAATTGCTGTATTTTTATGAGAGATACAAAAATAATCTTATTTTTGGTACTTTATAAGCTTACAAAATAGATAATCAATTAAGCTATTTCGTTTTACGATGGGTTTTTTCGTTTTTGATCATAACGATATTAAAATTTATAATGATATAACAACACATTAAAATATTTCAAAAATTTAACTTTGTAAATCGTCATTTTTGAATTTTTTGGTTTTTTTTTGATTTGTGATAGTTTACAAAATTGGTACTATAATTTTAAAAAATGTCCATGGCATCTTAACTTATGATATGATTGAGATTTAGATGATCAAATAAATTTAATTTCGAAAAGAAAAAAATTGAGACAAACGAAAAAATAAACAATTGATTTACTCATTTTTGATATATTTTTAAAGTCGGAGTTAATTTTTGGATTTGAAACTGAATCAAACAAATACAGTTCCATATAAATTCACTAAGATTTAAATTGTATAATGATTTTAAATTTAAACTTTATTCCACTAATTAATTAATCAAGCTATTTGCTACTTAGACAAAAAAAAGAAAAAAACAAGCGCAATTCACACAAAAAATTTATATAGAAAATTTATATAAAAAATTTATATAGGGATATTTCGCTTCCTTCTTCATTTCATTTCGATGCTCAAATTCAATTCATTTCGGTCCAGTGAATTCCAATACACTGATATTAACAAAATGAATATTGTGGTTAATGTAAGAAGCAAAAAATTGAAAAGTTAAAATTTTAATTTGTTTTTTAATTATTCGAGCAGACATTAACAGATATTATTAGCGAATTACTTCTAGCACAAGATCGAAAAAATTGGAATAATTCTCGAAATTCAATTAAATTAGTTGGAAAAACAAAAAAGTATTCTTAGGAAATTTTTCATACCTGACAAGAGAAGTTTCTTTTTTTTCTTTTCCATAGCGATTATGCAAAATTCTTTTCCTAAAAAAATATTCATATATATAAATATTATATAAAAATATTTATATATATATATAAAAAGTATTTATATATATAAATCAGTTAATATCTACGATCAGCAAAAAACTTCAAAAAAAAAAACCAGAATTTATGAATTTGGAAAACTTTGGGTTAATTCACAAGATTTAATTAAATATACAAAACAAAAATTTAAAGAAAAAATGAATTCTTTCAAGCAATCCACAACTTCTTTAAGACAAATTTTTTTTCCTCCATTATCATTTTCATTCCAATTTCAACTTACTTTCTAATTATTTTTTCCTAATTAACTGATTTATGGGAGATGGGAGCAAGGAGAGAGCATTTTCCAATACAGCAACATAAAATCAATCATAACTGAATTGAAATTAATGAAAAAACCAGGAGTAAATTGGATTTAATAAGTTCATCAATTTTCATAAATATACAAACACTAATTAACACAATTAATACCTGTGTTGCAAATCATTTCATCGAAAATAATTTGTTCAGCTAAATTAATCTCATTGCATGATCACAATATCAAATTATGCTAAATACACATTAATAAAATATAGCTCTAATTAGTTATCTAACTTTTGAATTTTTAATATGAAAGAATTATTTTTCTTTCTCATTTTCTCTCACCTTTTTTTTTTCTTTTTTTTTTGTTAAAAAGAATTGACAGAAAGGTAAAATTTATAGCATATTCAATCAAATCAATGAAATATACGAGCTTTTGTAATTTTTCAATAGCTTTTGATGTTATAATCATATGTTGTTTACTTCAGATTAAATTTTTTTTAAAATATAAACAGTTAAGAGATCATAGATGAAGGAGAAATAATTTTAGGAAGGAAAAAAAAAATTGCTTGTAATTGTACAATTCACTGGTAATTGTCATAAAATAATACTTTTTTTCTGGTGTAATTTTGGTCGAATTGATAAAATTAATTCAATATGGAGTTTTTAATTTAATGGACTGGTATTAAAATTAGCATAAAAGACTGGTATAACATTAGTTATGATAGGGAGGAGTAACATAATATATTCTAAATAGTTTAAAATCGCCTTATAAATCACAATGTTATCGAAAATTAAAAATTGAATTAATTTATGATAAGGGTAGGGGAATTGCAATTATTATTCAATTTCCATCAATTTTTTTCAATGAAATGATTGATATTCTAAGGTTGTTATCAAAGCAAAGTTTTCGCGTTAAGCGATCAATTGATGATGAAGATTGTTGGAAAAATGATCAAATCGGTTGGTCATCATCCAGCCATCCGATCTGATCAACTATTATAAAGGACTAAAAATAATAGGTTATTAGTAAGGAAAGGAGAGAAAGAATAATTTTTTTTTAAAGACAAAATTATTTTCGTTATAAGTAGAAAGTAATGATGGCACACTGTAATACCAATCTGAAATAATTCTTACTAAGAATATTCCTGCAAATATTCCAATTCAAGTTTTTGGAATTTGTGAGGAAAAAAAAACAAGAATAAGGAAGTGAATATACAAAAGATATGGTAGGTAAAGATAATTTTAGAAATGGAAGTAGAAGAGATGAAATAATTATTGAAACAAAGAAAGTTGGAAAATTTGCATAAATGTATGATGGTAATTAATTATTTAAAAATATTCGATATCAGAGAAACAAAAAACCAAAATGACTCATCAATTGAGAATAGAGCAGAAAAGTTGGGAGGAATAGTTGGGAAGGAATAATTTAATTCCTGACAAAGAAATAACTTTTTTCTTTTCTATACCATGAAATTTTTATTTATTCTAACATTTCCTAACAAGTTTTTCCTTTTCTTTTTTCCTCTTTAAATTTCTATCATTGAATTTATCAACAGAGAGATAAAACGACAGGGGGAGAAGGAAAGAGAGAGAGGCAAATAAAGATAGGGGAAAAAAAAATGCTTCCTTCTCTTTTTATTCAAACTGAATTGATTTTTCATTTTTCGATAAATGATTCTGAAATATTACAATATAACTATGATTACGATATGTAAATATTACAGTATATTTAGGATTAGCAAGTATGTTTGGAATAAAAGTCTAGGAGAAAAAAAGGAAAAGATGATATTCAAATAGAATTATTAATTGGGAAAAAAACGATGATGGTTTACTATTAATCAGGAAAAGGTAATGATTTAATAAACATTAATCAGGAAAAAAGAAAGATTTAATGATAAATGATGGTAATGATATCATTTTTTATATTTTATTTGATTAATAAATTTGTATATTACTGTATGAATCCTTACAAATCACTGAAAGTCTGTATTTCGAAATAATATGCCTTAATAAATACCAATTCATTCTAGTTATCAGTTCAAAAAAGAAGGTTCAAGAATAATTAACAGTTTAATAATTTAACATTGCTACATCAACCGGACTAGATTATGAACGATTCTAATCCTATAGCATGAAACAACTAACATGTCATTTTGTGTCTTTTTTTTTTGCCTACTTGAATATTTGACAGCAAATATATCCTATCACATTTTGACAATAGCAAATTTTCAGTTCTCCATTCCTGTCGTTAAGGCACATCAGGAAAGAGAAGATTTTTCGGATCATGAGAATTCTGAACTGACAGAATAAGATGTTTTAACAACACGTCATATCTCAGCTTTCTCATCCTGCTGAAGTCTATACAATGTCAACGAAGTGAAACCGCTTTCAGGAATGAAGAATATACCCAAATTGAGATGGAACAGATTGTTGCATTAAGCGTCCGGGAAAAGCTTCGGGCCACATTCCTTGATGTTTTGTGCTGCGTGGAATTTATCGTGTGAGGTTTTTCCCGAGTAATTTCCGTGTCCTAAATTGATGTGATTTTGTGGATGGAAATCTTTTGGCAAATGATGGGGAAATGTTGACGTAGAAATACAAATTTATGGAATCATTGGATAGTTTGATAATGAAAATGATCGGATAAGGATATAGTATATTATCGGCATGCTTTTTATGGAACGATCTATTAGTGTTATTTGTGATTACAAGACATATTATAAATAATTAGGCTTGGTTTTACATATCTTACTTTGTTGTGAATAGAATACGATCCTATGGTTTATTCAGATTTATAAATATCTCATAGATGAACTATTGTCATACAGATCACTATTTGTTTGGCAAATTTTTCAGTTCAGTTATACAATGACAGATCCAAGTTGGGGTTGGAATGATGAAAGTAATTATAATGCTAGCTATAATGTTAACCAGCATTGGTATCAGAGGCAAGAACCATGGAGAAGCCAAGGAACTTATAGGTTTGTATTTGGCTTACAAGAACTTCCTTTTGTTAACACTGATGTCAAGGTTTGGAATTTATTGCCAGATAGTTCGTATTACGGTTATTTTCTAAATGAGAGAGTTCGTTTTTGCAATTCTAACTTTGTCCTGTATTTGAATGTTCTTCTGGGATTATTGATTTGAAAGAGGTGAGATTGCTTTAGTAATCAGCCTACAGCAGCAATTCCATCGGATAAGGTTTCTAACGAATACTATCACCAACAAGCAACCATTGCTTCAGTACCGGTGGCAGCTAATTATTCCCAAGCAAATCAAATGCAGTCATTCGGAATGGCATCACAAAGTCAGCCTGTCGTTAAGATTATTACATTAAAATTATTTCACGTTGTCTTTTGCATATCTATTGAATTTATATATTTTGAGACATGAACGATTTAAACAGATTTGGTTTTATTTCCAAAAGAAAAAATTCAGTATGGAAAAAAATCTTAAAAAAAAGATTCAATATGAATTTAAAACATTAAACTTTGTAAAATACTTTACCGAATTTTCGAACATCTACAAATATCCCGCAACTTTTATATGCTATACTCATGTGTTTTCAGATTCATATGGTGTTGGAAATTTACCATCATTTTCTGATCAATTCATGTCAGACCCAATGTTAAATGCTGCAAGACAAATTGGTGGCCAGTTTGCTGTTCATCAGAAGGAAAAGGTAACTGTTTTTATTACTGGAGATATCCACAATGCATGTAGCCAGCAATGTCGGGTACATTTTTGTTGGTAATAATAACAAAGGATTTTCATGTGTGATGCATTTAATATTATTAACATTAAGATTAACCGTGAAATCAATTTTCCAAAAGAATTTTAGAAGGGAATGATTTTCTGCCGGAAGCTAACTGTTTTATAATATATTTCAGTTGACTAAATATTTGTCCGCATTCCATCTTAAGTATTATTTTGCTGTGGATAATGCATACGTTGGCAAGAAATTGGCTCTTATATTTTTCCCTTTTCTGCATCGAGTAAGTTCCTATATCTCATAACAAGTTAATTTACACACTTTTAATATGCCGTGAAATGCAGCCCGTAATTTTAGGATTGGACGGTCAAGTATGATTCTTCGGATTCACCATTACCCCCACGATCAGACGTTAACGCACCTGATTTATATATTCCGTTAATGGCTTATGTAACTTATATCCTTTTCTCTGGATTTGTACTAGGAACACAAAGAAGGCAAGTTCAGTTATCTGATTTCATTTTTCCTGCACGGAAAACACCTGCTCAAGAATCATTTTTTAAGATTTACACCTGAACAGTTGGGCATCATCACAACAAATGCATTAGCGTACCTTATTTTCGAAAATTTGATCATAATTATAACGAGGTATATTATGAACATATCACAATCGCTTACTTTCTGGCATTCACTTGCCTATAGTAGCTATAAATTCGTTGGGTAAGATTTTTGAAAATTTATGATGAAACTGATAAACTGTTCGTAAATTGAATAATTGAATTTTTGGCAGAATTTGAAATACAAGCTATGAATGCTGTTGAAGATGATTTGGTAGAAAAAAATATTATGTCAATCTATTGAAACGGGATTAGGAAATCTTTTAAATTCCCATAAAAGGATCTGATTAGTTTATCGAACGCATCAGTTTTTGAATTAAGATATTTGTTTAAATTGTGTAGCATAATTACCGTTATATTTTCGTACCTGCTGGTGTTACTTTTTTAGGATGAATGTCTGCTTATTGGTCTTTGTATTAGGTGGTAAATCGTTTTATTATTGGGTTTTAGCTTATATATCCTTTGCAGTTGTTTTCTTTCTGGTATGTTTCATATGTATTTTGTTACAATAGAAATTTGTTCCCCTTTTTGGCGTGAGATACATAATATGTTGATCTTAGTCTCCTGCAAAATCTGAATGAATAATTATTTGTCGTTTGACTTTTGCACTCCTTTATTTGCTGTAGGAATTACACTTACCTCTCATTTGAAAATGGAGTGATATAGAAACTACTCCAGTGCAAAAGTCCTTTGAGATTCAACTAAGTTGGGAGAGAATTAAACAAAAATGGATACAGTTTTCTTGTAGTTTTTAAAAAGATTACTTTGGCTTCCATTAGGGTTAAGACAAAGTTTAGTCTTTTTTGCATTAACTTTTGTCCAATGATGCATTTTTTGGATTTAATTAAATTTTTCTTTAAGCTACGAACAGTGAAAACATTTTTAATGGATGTGCAGAATACGTATAATGAATATGGTGGAAAAAAACGTAAAATATATTTGATGATATTTATAGCATTCACACAACCATTTCTGATGTGGTGGTTGACCAGGTTTGATTCATCCTTTTACGACAACTTTAAGTCAATGTCTATTAATCTCAATTTCTTCAGTGGAAATAAACACTAATTACAGTTGATTAAATGTTTTCGACTTCATGCAAATCTTGTGAGTAAACTCTTTGAATATTTCAATGCTGTTACAGTTCTGTGACCAGCTACACACCTGGGAAAATGGATCTAGCCCAGTATGCCTTGTCGGGTATAGGATTCAATGAAGCAGTGAACAAAGGACAACTGCCACTGTTGCCAAGTGGTGAAGTGGATTATGATGCTTTGCTAAAAATGCCTTAAGTTTTTTTTCGTATTCTGTACTTGCTGAGTTTGAAGAGACTTCAAAGATTACTAGGAACAAAACGATTTTAAAAATTTCAATAAAGACAAAATAACATCATAAAGTACTATTTGTAGATCATGATGGATCGTCTATTTTTGTAACATCATTGATGCTGATTGAAACTATAGACTTTGTTCTTAAAGGGTCTTGGAAATTAGATAGTGAGAGATGTTTTAGGTCTGTGCGAAATGTTCGATTGCTTATGAAAAATTTGTTTCCTGTACCAAAATTTCGAACATTTTGCTTTCTGTCATGTTTCCAGAATGCATTTCGTTGGATTTTCTTTCATTTGGTTTATTAATTCCCCGTATATTATTTATACTTATTAAATTAATTTACCGTTCCGATAAAATGTAGGGTATAATAGTGTTCAAGAGAGTTGTCTGATATACAGATCTATTTATGATAATGGTTCAAATCTTCTTGTTTTATAAATTAGTTAATTTTTTGCTTTTATGGCAATAAAAATTAATTTTTCGGTCAAATTGCATTTTCTTTTCCAAAAATTTGATTTTCTACTTCTATTGATAAGTTTTCAATAAGATATACTGAAATTTTCAACTCTAAACGGAAAATGAATTAACTCGTAAATGTGAAAATAAAGATTGAAAGTGGAAATTAATATAAAAATATGTTGTTTTAATCCAAATGTTTTAATCCGAATTTCAAACCTTTAGCAGGCTGATTCTTTATTTAGATGTTCAGCATGTAATAGTTATCGCATGAATACTGAAGAGATTCAACTTCAGTATTTCAAACTTTCCGGTACTTCGTTGGGAGTTTAAGTTCGATATTTCAAACTTTTCATTACTTCATTAAATAATAATTTTGTCGATTTTCAATTAAAATCGCTTAAATCAGCTTAATTTTAGGTATTTCTTTCTTTTGTTCTACTGAATTTTTTGGTATACGTTTTGTTGTTATAAGAAGATAAGGTGATCTATATGTGCATTATGGTGTTATTTATGTTATTGATAATACTGTTTTGCTAGATTCCTATCTCTATTAAATAAAAGTTGTAAGTACAGTTATATTTTACCACATGATCGGAAGCGAATCAAGTAGCAAAGATGCCTACTGTTATGTTTAATCCTTGAAATTTCTTCAGTTAATATATTTTGCTACTATTTAAAGCATATATTAATAGAATATTTATTGCAACTCTTCTCCAAAAACAAAAAAATAAAAAAGAAACAAATTCAAGATAAAGCTATAACAATAATTAAAAGCAAGAAATCGAATCAATAATTAGTAAAGATAAATGAAATGAGTAATTAAAAACGAAAAACAATAGTTGTTTGTAAAAACAATAGTTTATATAGTGTGTCTGTTTATATGCTATACCTTTCCAGAAAAGCCAACTATGATTCTCCTATGTCGAAGTTTTAAAACTGACTCTGAATGTCGAGTAGGTGTACTGATATACTGTTGGATGGGTAGATTTAGTCGATTTAGTTATTCCACTCTGATTAGATTGGCGTATTTCATTATCTGTCGTTATGATGATCAAAGGAAGAGATAAGATTTATCGCTGCAAAATGATCTCTTATGGATTATCTGTTTATATGCTCTACTGTTTATATGCTCTACCTTTCCAGAAAGGTTAACTATGATTTTACCCTTAGATAGTTGCACCTTAGTTGTTTCAAAGTCATTCTTCACCAATTTATCACCCTTCATATGAATGATCCGACATGTAACTGTTTGCGATTGAATGGAATACAGGTTTGATTTATTAATTTTCATTAACTTTCAGATACTTCATCTCGCATTTGTATTTTGTCATTCGGAAAAAGAAAAACGGGGAATAGATTATCAATGAAGGAGACAGAGTCTTTTGCATCTTGTACTACATGTCAGCTATTAATTATTCTATCGGTGTTTGCTATTTTATTATTTCTCTTGTCACTAAACTCGAGGTGTTTATATTTTATTAAAATGGTCGGCATCTATTGTGCCATACTGATTAATGCTGTGATCGTGTGTTTAGTTTGGCCGTTGTACTTTTTTGGCGACGTAAGTGTGTTTTTCTGAGATTTTCTCTTTGCCAAACTTTCTTCCTTTCTCTCTTTCTGGCAAGAGATGGGTACTAAATTTTGGCTTGGCTTGTTTATGCTTCATAAAATATCATCCTGACATATTAAATTTATGCATTTTACACGTTTTAATCTTTTACAGGTGCCGAAATTTGTTTTCGATTCTTTTAATATTCTCTCAAGATGGACAAATATAGAAGTTATCGTGCGAAATGGTGACATCTTGCAGAAACCGGGGCCATTCGTATTTGTATGTAACCATCAGGTATCTTATGATATTTTTTACTAGCCCATATGTTTTGTGGAGATCTTGTAGCGATAGTTTCTCTATTATCGATTTCGAATATCGTCTGATGGCGAATAAATGATGTGCGAATGGTAAACCTCATTTCGTATCGTGCTATGCTGCAGTCTACATTATAACATGCTGAGATTTTATTAGATTCAGTCAAATGTGATTATAGCTATTTTATTTGATGACACAAGATCAGTCTTCTGTATCTCTGATATTTGTTTTACGATGCGTACGAAAAATAGGAAAGTAATTCTCGTTTTCGTTTCAGCTATTAGGTTTGTACATT